GCATTTTTGTCAGCTCGACCAGAACGGGGCCGAGTTGAAAAAAGCGAACCGTGAAAACGTCACCACCGCGACAGCGTCTGTATCGCCTCAGGCCGTCAAGCCATACGCCACAGGCCACGTCGAAAGGTTTAGAGCCAGTTTGGGAGGCGCCAATGTGGCAGTACCAAGTTCGGCCCGAGAGGGTCGGCTCGAGGGTTGGTGCACACGAAAAGCCCTTGACGAGGTGAAGATGGTCTGGTCACTGTTCACTTTTGAGGCCATGGCAACGGAAATCTGTCACACGCGAATGCATGTTTGGACCTGCCGACTGCCAAGGCCCAGACCAGCTTTGGGGCCGTCAGTCAAGAGTGAGTTCATTTAGTCGCCATGCCGAACCAGTTGGGTCTGACAATGTCTGTCAGTGTTTGGCTGTCATCTGTTAAATCAACCCGGGACCCTGCACCCAAAACTATGCCTGATCGCACCGGTGCTTGGGCAATGTGACATCTTCTGTTGCCTGCGTCGCCATGTGGAGGATGCGAGGTGGGCTTGAGTTGGTAGATAAAGTGTGTTTCACACCCTCCCTGACCCCTGCCATGCTCACATTGGATACATGAAAGTGCAGCGTCACTCAATTGACGATTGCCAATTGCCTCGCATGCGCCGGCCTCTTAAGACCATTGTTTTGGCAAAATTTGGGTCGTACCAATGGACGAGTGAAGTGAAAAGTAAATCAGAAAGAGCAACAAATGGAAATGGGAAATACGAAGAGTAACTGGGTTTTACAAAAGTCGCCTGGAAGCATTATTGGTGAGAGCTTCATTTAGTGTGAAAGTGCATGAAGAAGAGATTCATAGAAGGTATGAAGACTAAGATGGTGTGGCTTTTTGTGTGGTCGCAGAATCCTTTCGTGGTAGAGAAGTTGTTTGACCTTTTTTTCGCAACTCGGTCATTTTGGTAGGAAGACTTGGAGGAAAGCACCTTGTCCGGATTCGATTGTATACATCATCATTTCCAAAGTCGGACCGTGGATGTGGAACATTCCCAGACATTTCACCGGCATCGTCAGTGAATCTCGCCATTCTTAGCACCAAACAACAACTCACCAATGAGACAAGTGAAGCAGATTCTTTGAAGAGAATCGTAGGTTGATGTAGGAAAAAGATGACAGCTGAATCGCGATGTACTGCAGTGGTTTGGCTGACGTTCAGGCTGACAAACAAACTTTAATTCAAAAAATAAAGGCAGACCGAATCTGTGAATTGTCTGGCTAGCATGTCCTGAAAATGCACTACTGATTGCCTACTTTTCAAAAGCTGTTCTATTTGAATGCAAAAGATAATTACAAAATAATTTTAAAAAATGTACGTTAATGAACAAAAATATAAACTGACTAATAATATATAAAAACAATATTTAACAAGATATAGATAAAATAGAGTTAATAATACAACAAAGTAAAAATTTAAAAATATGAGAAACGACGACTAATGGTTTGTTTTTCGGAAAATCGTCCGAGTTAACATTGTTGGGAGGACATTCATTTTGTACGAAATTGCATCGAGAAGAGATTCGCAGGCCGATATCACAAAAAGACGACGCCTGATTTCGGTTGTAATACAGCCGTTTGGATTACGACTTTCAGTCTGCCACACTCTACGAGACATCCTCCCTCGTTTCGGGTGAAAATGGGTTGCGACCTCGGCCATAATAAGATGGAGAATATCAGAGCTGGAACTCATTCTTGTACAAATGTAAATCGGGAAGTTGGCAGGGGTCTCAGAGAAATAAAGATTAGAAGCAACATAGTCAATGATTGGAATAAAATAGAAAATGAAAGGAGAAAAACGAAAGGTTAATAAAACGGAATAAAAGAGGATTTTG